CTCAAATTCTTAGACCTTGTGGAACAGAGAATCAAAAAGAGAATAATTAGAAGTTATAATGCCTCTTGTATTGTTATTAAATGTGACCAGTTATTCAGATTCAGTCATGGACTGGTCTAGAAATCAATCTAATATTGGAAATAACAGTCTTCATTTGTAAGTCTGGTTCTGTACATTTTCAGAGACTTATATGGAAATTAGCTGCAGTTCTCTATGATGTTATGTTAGCAAGAGATAAAGTTGGGGCAGGATCTGGATTTAGCACAGGTGTTAGCACATGTGTTAAGACTTTTTAAATTGTCAAGTTAAAAATACTTTTGTTTCTTCTACAGTATTTAATGTAAGTTGCATTGATTGTACACCTTCTAATTGTGTTTGTGTTTTGAAATCCGGCATGTCAGTTATGGAGGTCTGTCAGCCAGCTTTTGTTTTAGTATCCTGAGTATCACAGAACCTTCGTATTCTAAAAATAGCTTGCAAGTACTGGAAGAAATGAGGCAGGCTTTAAGCAGACAAGAGGGTAGTGGGCTTGATTATTGTTGGTATAACAACCTTAATTGCATTAATTGCTAGCACCACTGCTTCTACAATTGCTGTGACATAAGAAGTTAAGACAGTTACTTTTGTTAATCATTTAGCAAAAAAATGTTACTAATGTGTTGAATATACCAGAGCATTTAGATAGGCATTTGGAAGAACGGATTGGTGCTCTTTATCCTATTCAAATTACTGGAAGGAGGTTCAGAATTGAAGGGTAAGGAGCCATCTTGAGTGTCATGCCAAATAACCATTGAACTAATGTTAGTTCTAAAATTTACAGTGGTAGTCATTATAATTAGGAAGAAGTTTAATGACATTTGCAGTGTATTTGACATAATTCTAACAACTCTCTGGAAGTTTTAACTATACAGAGAACTATTTCTAAACAAGTCTACGTCCTCCTTTGTTCTATTAACCTTTCAATTCCACTACCTCTGGTGGGTGGTGGGCTAGAAGGGAGGTTAAAGCATTTAAAAACCCTTATTAAAGGTAGAGTTTGAAAAATATAAGCAACACATTCAAAGCAATAGTTTTTTTTTTTAATGTAATAGAATCACCCACTCCTTGTGACAGCCTTCCTTTATCATGCTGCATACCTGTGGCCCTACCCTTGGACCCGACCTCAAACGAATGTTTTCTTTGATCATTAGTTTGTTCCAAGCCTATTTTTCTTTCTAGTGTAATGTATGCACCTATAATGTATGGAAGCTCACTCTACTCCTCATGTGGCCTTTACTCTTCTACAAGGGAGAGAGGCACACTCTACTTTTGATTCTAAATTTAAACTTTCTACTAACTGTCTTTACTTCTTAAAATTATTTCAATCAAATTAGGAATTCTATAAAACCATTAATTCGTCTAAACAGCATTATTTCACTAAAGTTCATCTTCATGTTAATCTGTAGGAAGTTTGCCCAATAGGGTGGGCTAATGGCCAGGGATCAATTATAAGAGACTATAGGCAGAAAGGGACTTCTTTTGTCCCATTACAGCATGTCAGAAAAATAATGAATATAGCAATGACAAACATGGGAAGGCATATCAGCAGCAATCCTTGGACCAAGCTTCCAGGGCCATGCCTTTCCAGGATTTACCCATTGCCACATACAAAAAGACATGCAGTCTCCAGGAAGCTCAGCTGTCCACTGCAGCTCCTTCTACGTGCATCTGCCAATTCACTACACCAGTCACTAATTCTGTGTGGGTATTTACATTTAATAAGATGAATCCCATTTAGCTCAGTTTCTGATGGGGAAGAAATGAGACTGTAGAATGCAGAAGGAGCTCTCTGGATGGATAAGCCTTATTCAGGACTTTGAGCTGACAGATTTCCTTGATGTTGTGAATGCAAGTGATCTACTTCACTTAGCTAGAAGACAATAGCCTCTGCTGCCATGCAGAAATCGCACCTAAGAAAGCTGTCCTCTAATATGTTCCTTCCTCTTTCAAGATTTAGCATACTACCTTTGGTGTTTCTTTACCAACTAGTAGACTCAACTTTGTCACAGTATGTCTGGAAAACACTGTTTCTATTGTGGAGTAATAAGGGTAACTCAAAAAGCATGTGCTGGCAGAATCAGAACATGCCTGAAGATGGATCTTGGTGCATACATGAGTAAGTGGCCTAAGATAAAGGTATCAGATTTGTTGATTGTAAGCCCAAGTAACCGAGAAAAACACAGAAACTGGATTTATCTGAAATTGATTATATTTCCTGTCGCCATGGAGATAAGTATGCAAGAGACTGCATTAAGAAAAATGAGCAAGTCAAATTGCTTTGCACACCAGAATTTGCGGGCTATCTCAGACATACCTTTTAAATGCTCAACTCCTTCCATAGGTAAAGTAACAAAACCGGAGTGTCCTCTTGTGGCTTAACACAGGGGTTGCTCCTGGTCACTACCGAAACTGTTCTTAATTAGGGGAACTCACTAACTCACTAGGTATGTATGCTAGTAGGTAAATATAGACACTTGAGCATGCTCACCATAAAACAGCAGGAGCAAGGAGCCTCTAAAATGATATTTTCAAAGGCTATCCCTCAACCCTTTGCTTTTAACACAAGTACTTTAAAGTTATCCTGTGTGGTCTGTGAGTGTTTTGATAGCCACCTAATTATTTGGGACTCCTTATTCACATGTGGATTGATATCAGATTATATTCCAGAATATTCTTGTTACCCAAGTATCCCTAAATGAATGTCATGTGTCTTATATGCTAGAATTAAAAATTAACAGGTTCTGCCAAATTACTAGGTAACTTGTTTTCCATTTGAACACTGGGGATTAATCCTAGAAAGTGTCCAAACATATCCTGAATGCTCTAGATTAAGATGCTTTTTAAAAAACTAGTCCACTGACCTGCAAATGTTTCTATCTCATTTGTGAGTCTAACTTTATAGTTGACAATGTGTTCCATTCAGATGATTTCACACAGGAAGAATGTGTTATCATCTACTTATACTAAAGGTTAGAAAATAACTTCTGCTTGTTTTTTTTTTTTTTTTGGTTTTTCGAGACAAGGTTTTTCTGTGTAGCCCGGGCTGTCCTGGAACTCACTCGGTAGACCAGGCTGGCCTCGAACTCAGAAATCCGCCTGCCTCTGCCTCCCAAGTGCTGGGATTAAAGGCGTGCGCCACCACCGCCCGGCTAACTTCTGCTTGTTTAAAATGTAGATTTGTAGGGTAATCCTCCACTACCCAGTGATTTGAGATCAACCTGGGCTACAGAAGATCCGATCTCAAAACTGAAACAAGAATCCATATATAAATAATTAAATGTGGAAATAATTCTCGAAATTTTAAAAAATCACTGAAAAAATTCAAGTCCTAGGAGGGGTCATACTTCAACAAATGGCTGAAACTGACTAGTAGCTGCCAGCTTTAGTTTAAAAATAATTAATTACTTGAGACCGGGTCTCACTATGCAGCCCTGTCTGGTCTGTAATCTAAATAGGTGGATAACTATATTGATCCACCTGCCTGTACCACCATGTCTGGTTTAAAAAAATCTTTTAAATTAAATTAAAAACAGAAATTATAATGTGTTTATGATATGTGTGAGTTGGAGGGTTTGTGCTCAGGATATTGCCTAAGGGTGGGGGCAGAGGACACCTTTCCGGAGTTTGTTCCTTCCACCCTGGCTTCTGGGTATTGAACATCACTCGTCCAGCTTGGGCTACAAGGGTTTTTACAGCCAAGCTATTTCATTGGCTCAAGGTGCCAGCTTTAGAAGTGTTTTTCAATTCAAAAGACAGGGGTGCATTCTAAAAGTATTTATTGAGCACCTTCTTGCCAGATACTGTTTTTTAGATCCTGGGGTCATACAGTGAACTAAACTCGTGGAATTTATATTCTAATGAATAAAGATAGCACAATTAGCTGTAGCTTAGACAGTGATAAAAGATATGAACAGACATCAAGCAGGGTGGGGAAGTACAGGGCAATGTATTGCAGGAAGAGTGTTTGCACACATATACTCATTTAAATGCCTAGCTAGATCCGGTGGGAAGCCAGGTTTATGACTCTTATAAATAACCAAGTCATTATAAATGTTTTTGCACTATAATGCTTGCGTGTACTTCACTCATCTTTGAAAATTACTCAGCGATCCGTCTGCCTCTGCCTACCACGTGCTGGGAATAATGGCGTGGGCCACAACGCCAGGCATTAGATTTTTAATTTTATGTGTCTGCAGGTGGGTACGGGACGATGAGTGTAGATGCCTACGGAAGCCAGAAGAGGGTGTCAGGTTCCCTGGTACTAAGCATTACAGGCTGCTCTAAATCCTGCCTCCGGGAGGGTACGAAAACCTAAGCAGCAAAGCGCTCTTAATTGCTGAGCCCCCTCTCCAGACCCTTCACTTGTCTTTATATTCCATGGTCCAAACTGTATTTTCATGTAGGAGAAATGAGAAGCAAAGAGTCTTTCTGCAACCGCTTTCCAGGATGACTATTTCGGCTTGCTTAACCGAGGGATCCTAAGAGCATCTGCAACCTAGCGGCTCTGTTTCCATAGCAACCAAGACGCCGAGCCTGCGCGGGGTCCGAGTAGCAAGACCTGACCTGGTACCTAGGAAGTACTCGGGTAAAGAGAAGAGCTGCTGTCACAGCCTGAGGCAAAGGAAACAACATTCCGAAGCCACGCACCCTCCCTCGCCTCTCTGGCTCTGCAAGCTCTTCGGCCTCCCGCATCGCCAGCTGCCACAACTTCCGGCCTCGAAGCCCCTCCCCCTCGGTTCCGTGGCTCTCTCGGGTCCTCACTGCGGAAAGGTGACTGTGGCGGCTGCCGTGCCTGATCAGGCATCGGACTAGGGACTGCCATGTCTTTGGGACAGCAGTGAGGCCCTTACAGGGTGCTAGCACTCAGCCAAGCGTCGTGCGGCCCCGCCGGCGGGGCTGGAGCAGCGGCGGCCAGGCGCGGGGCACGCAGGCGCGCGCGGGGCAGGCACGGCGGCGGAAGTGAAGGCACGGCTCGGCCAAGCCGTCTAGGAAGCCGCGGCGGGTCGCCCAGTGAGGGCAGTCGGAGCCCCGCCAGACCGTCGGGATTCAGCTCTGGTTGTCGGCGCGATGCCTCTGTTCACTGCCAACCCGTTCGAGCAAGATGTGGGTGAGTGCGGTGCCCGGCGCGCTGTGTGCAGGGCAAAGTGGGCGGCGGCCCGAGTGCCTAGAAACCCTGGCGTAGAGCGAAGGGGCGGCGCCGCTCTCGACGGCGGGGGGCAGCCTCGGTGCGTCTCTGGCTGGGTCAACTCCTGTCTGCTCGAGATTGGGGTACCGAGCAGGGTTGTTCCCGTCACCCAGAACAGGAGTGGGGAAAAGCCAGGTTCGTTGGAGGCTTAAGTTGTTGATACAAACTTCCTGCTTTCTCCCGAGCTCGTTAACACCCTTCCTTTTAGAAAAAGGTGCAGTAGTTTGCTGTTTGCTGCCCAGGGCAGTCTCGAACTTGAGACCTAGACTTACCCGGTGTAACTGGCATTGTTTCCGTAAGCACACATCTAAGCCCTATTGGTTGCAGTTTCAGAATTTATTGACTGTTTTGAAGGTGCTGCGAGAATGAAAAGGAAAACTCCCAGAATCTTTAAATAGCCCAGAACGACCCATGTTTGTTGGAGTCAAACTTTACTCTGGTAGCGCATGTCTTTCAGAATGAGAAAAAAGATGGATGGGGTACAGCTTAAGCATAATATAAACAGTAAAAGCACAGGCTGGCATCATTTTTGTAGCAGTAGTTAACAGGCTCCTATCGAGGTTTTAGGATTTAGAAATTTCTGGTTAAACAAAATGCTACATACTTTAGCAGTGAGGCACCAGTTTGTTCAGTTAAAATTTCTGTTCAGTTAAGAAAAGACTAGAAAGTGCTTTATCTTGTTATAAATCTCAAAATCATGTTCAAATCGAGTGAGTGTCTAATTATATAGGAAGCATGTTGAGGCTTAGTCACTGTTTAAGGAATAATTAATTGTTCTTTTGTAACAATACCTATGTTAGACATTCCACTTCTTAATTTTTATTGGATTAATTGGGTTTTGAGACAGAGTGGAGTCTCTATATAGTCTAGGCTGTCTTCAAATTCCTAAAACCTCAGTCTTAGTATAGAGAATTCTGGGATGCCAGGTATGGGTAGGCCTCCACCTTGATTGAGACCTGTGCTTCTTACTGTGACTGTAAACACTTTCATTTTGTTCTAATGAAATGAGTGTAAAAAAGCCAAATAGAAGAGGTTATTTTATGTTTTCTTTATTCGTTTTTTATTTACATGTGTGGGTGTTTTGCTTACATGTTTGTCACTTGTATGCAGTACCTGAGGAGGTCAGAAGACATTGTCAGATCACCTGTCACTGGAGTTAAGAACAGTTGTGAACCACTGTGTGGGTGCTGGGAAGAGCGGGGAGGAGCAGGGAGTGTTCTTAACTGAGCCATCTCTCCAGCCCAAGACAGATTATTTAAAATATAAAACCTGTGAACTTTATTTATTTGTTTATTTTTAGAGATAGGGTTTCTTTGTGTAGTCCTGGCTGTCCTCTAACTCTTGGTAGATCAGGTTGGCCTTTGACTTCAGAGACCTGCTTGCCTTTGCCTCCCAAGTGTTGGGGTTAAAGGTAGGTGCTACCACGCCCAGTTTAAAACCTGTAAACTCTTTCTTCAAGGACAAATTTCCTAGAAGCCTGCTGTTTTCAAATTGAAATCTTTTTGGTATCAATGTTATGAGTGGCTTTGCCCAGTTTATTTTTCTACCCAGTGGTTTCTGAAATCTTTGCATCACAGCTTAGTGTAGTTTTCTTAGGTTCTGATCTTCAGACAGAAACAAACAAACAAACAACAAACAAACACAAAACTCATGTAGATTGTTTTATGGGCTATGAAATTGGTTAAGGCCCACGTAGATGAATGCAACTAGAAGAAAAAAAATGGAATGAAATTCTAAGGAGCTCAGATTGCTCTGAAATGAGTTTCAGGAAATTATATGTTGTATTTTTCAGACCTTAAGGACTCTTAATGTGAAAGAGTTAAATAATGCAAAGCACGTCATTAGCTGATTGAACATGTTACAGCGATATTCCATGTCCTTTTTTTGTAGCGTTATTTTTATTACTGTAGTATGTGTATGTTTCCCGTGTTCACTCTTCATTCAACAGAGAAATGCCTGGGATGATTAGTGTGCATCAAGCATTGTATTGTGTTTTACAGAGACAAAAATTAATACACATATTGAGTTCTTGCTCACAAGACACTCAAGTCTAAGGAAGGATACATGCTCAAGTAGATGGTTGTCCTATAATGTGATTAATGCAGCTTGATAGATATGGGGAATACAGAAAATGGTATCCATCCCCCCTTTTGCCTAAAAGCTATCGATTGTCTCTGAAGGCAAGACAAGAACAGTGTCAGGTAGGCAGTTCCCAAAGTAAAGGTCGCCCTTGTTCTTTCCCTCCCTCACTCCCTGACAGCCCTGCTTCAGTAGGAAGCAGTCACGTCTTACATTATGTACAATAGAGCACACACTGGAGGCTTCCAAGGAGAGAAAGTAAACATGGAAGACTTCCTGGGAAGACAGAGTGGCTGGTGTTAAAAAGATTTTGGCATGGCACGTAGACCCCTTCCCTTTTGCAGGAATCCCCAGAGAGGCAGCTGCCAAAATGAAGTTCAGTCCCTTTGTGACTTCTAACTGACTGCAGCAAGCTTGTGAAAGGCACTTCAGTGCGCCTTCTCACATTCGGAGGAAGCTCGTGTTTCATGAGGCAGAAGGATAATGCTCGGTCTATGCATGGTTGAAGGGATGATGAAGTTCAGGTTATACGAGGACAGTACAAAGGTCAGCAGATTGGCAGAGTGGTCCAGATGTGCAGGAAGAAGCATGAACCTCCTCCGTTGAATGGGAGAGAAGGCTAATGGCACAACTGTCCTTGTGAGCATCCACCCAGCAAGGTGGTTATCACCAGGCTCAAGCTGGAAAAACTCTGCAGAAAAATAAAATAAAAATGAAAATCCTGGGCTGGAGAGATGGCTTAGTGGTTAAGAGCACTGACTGCACTTCCAGAGGTCCTGAGTTCAAATCCCAGCAACAACATGGTAGCTCACAACCATCTGTAATGAGATCTGATGCCCTCTTCTGGTGTGTCTGAAGACAGCTACAGTGTATTCATATATAATTAAATAAATAAATCTTTAAAAAAATAAATAAAAAAAAAAAATAAAGAAGTGTTTTTTTTTAAAAAAATGAAAATCCTGCAACAGAAAGCCAGGTTTAGCCAAATAGGAAAGGAGAAGGGCAAATTCGGGGAAGAAAATGCAGGGATAGAGGAACTTTATATATACAACTTAATTTAAAGACAGCTTAAACATGGAAGGGCCGGGTGTGTGCTATTTGCTTAGATTCAGTACCAGGCTTGTTGTTACCTTTGGCTCAGAGTCATTGCTTGGCTGTTTTATGCCCTAACTCCACTGTTTGTTGCTGTACTTTTTTCCTCTGTCTAATAGTCTGTGCTCTGGGCTGTTTATCATTCATTGCTAGATGTTTGTGCTATCTTTAAAATTGACATATTATTGCATGCTGGATGTACATGTGCCACAGGGAACATGTGGCAGAGGACGTTCCTTGTTGAGGCAGAATCTCTTGTTTCTACCTTGCTATGCTCTCCTACTGGCTAGTGAGCTTCTGCCTTCCTGGGACAGTTCTCCAAAGGAGTGCTGGGTTGTGTACCACTGTGTCTGGTCCTCAGGCTTTCGAGGCAACTGTTTATATCTGCCGAGCCATCTTTCTAGCCATTATTTTATTTTATTCTTGAGATGGGGTCATAATATGTATCTTGGTCTGCCCTGGAACTCTCATGTAGCTTTGCCTATCCTTGAACTCGAGATCCTGTCTTAGCTTTCTGAATGCTGGGTACTCAGGTATATGCCATCATGCCTGACTATGATAAAATATTTGTCTTTTCATTTGCCGTCACTATCCATTCTGACAGATACATGTGTTTGTACCCCAGGAAGCTAGATTTTAATTGTATTCCAGAAAAGTGTCTTCTGAGAAGGAGGGTTGATGTGTGACTTTCCCTCTTTTTGCTTTTGTTGTCACAAGACCTTGATAAAAAGTAACTTGGGGCTTTCAATCAATACTCCCAACAGAAATTTGTAAGGATCTTTGATGTAAAAATAGAAGCATTCCAATAATACAAATGGATTTTGCATATTCAAATTTATAACATTTACCTAATTTAGTCCCTGAACATATGGTTGTTATAATCTTTAACTTTTAAAAAGTTTTGGTTACATGGCTTTATTTATTTATTGGTAATTAATTTTTTCCCATACATTGTTTTACTTGCATGGTTCCAGACATGCTAGTCCTTTCAGATAGTTTGAAAGTTTAATTAATATCTTTGACGTTTTCTTTAAAATGTGAACTACTTTGAGCATAATGTATAAAGCACAACGTGAGCTCCCGTCCCTGCCAGCCAGCCAACTCTGTCAGTTCCTAATACCATGACACATTTGATCTTTTTAAAGAAGAGAACTTTCAAGATACCGTTGAATATATTCTTAGCAGCTTTTTCACTCCTCCTTCTTCACAGAGTTAAACACTCTCCAAAAAGAAAGTTCTATTTGGTAAACATGTATATTATATAATATAGAAGTACACCATATACATTTTTGTGTGTATTCAAAATGTATTTTTTTTTGTCTGCACCTTTTATCATAGGCATTTTTCATATGTTCTTCATATTGAGGTGCGTTGGCTATGTGATAGTCCTCTATGATTACACCACATTTTTATGTAGTCTCCTACATACAGGCACGCTTATAGTTTGAAAGTAAGGCAAGGGTGTGAAATGAAGGTTTTCTACAAGTGAACAGGTTATACAAGTAGTGTTTGATTTGTCACACATTACTTTTTTTTGTTTAAGTAAAGACCTGCCCACAGGAGGCAGAGGCTGGAAGATCACTTTAACGTGAGGGCAGCATGGTCTCTATAGGAAGTATGACACCAACTAAAGATACATAGTGAGCTCTGTCTTTGAAACAAACAAAGAAGACTTAGAGGCATCCTTTTAATTAAGAATAGACTTGGCAGATGTGTGATGGAGAATGTCACACCCTGGCTAATGGACAACT